AGAAACACCCGCCGCGGCACCTCCGTTCCGGCCCCGCCGGCCGGGCCCCGCGGGTTGTCGGCCCGTGGGAGAACTCGGTAGGAAACAGCAGCCCTTGGACAGAGCGAAAAAATCGTGGGTTTGGGGCAAACGGCCTATCGCAGCGCGTACTTGTGCGGGTCCCCCGGCCACGAGCCCTGCCCGGAGCTGAGCAGCAAAGCTGCGGCGTTTAAACCAGCTGCAACCCCTCCTACCCGCTCAGAATTCCCGACATCCCCACGGGAGTGTTAAACTGTACTTCCCTAAAGCATCAAAGGGAAAAAACCCACCGAAGTTACTCTTTTTTTTAAAGAATTTGTTTATTTCTCGAACCTGGGTCATATTTAGATTCACAAGCCATTTTTAAATGTACATCTTAGAATTCAATTTTAAGTGTTTTACACAAAAATATTGGCACACAACAGTTGCAATCAGGTGTAAGAGCCACCTTTCTGAAGAACTGCTGCAAGTTGTTTGCCCGAGGTTGAAAAAACTTTACCTGGAACATGAAAACCTGTAACAAATTTTAAATTAATTGTACAAAACTGTTGTGTGTTACTTGTAGAGGTTCCCCCCTGGAAAAGGCCCCCACCCCACCCCAAAAATGATTACAACTAATATACATCAGTCACAACGTAATCCTGGCTCAGCACCCACGTCAGACGCTTCCTGAATTATTGTTTTAACCCAATCATCAGATACCGAGGAAAGTAACTTTATACAAAACCAAATCTACATGTGCCTGGAAAAGAAAACACACTGGTATTTAGCATTATGCTAATTATGGTCAGGTAATGGCAGAGACTGCCACTTAAATACAAGGGCTGCATAGCATCACAAGAAACCCCCAGGATCGTTAACCCTTTGGCCTCAGGAATCCCGATTTCCTGCCCTCTGCAGCACCAACCATCTGAGCCTCGGCCCCGCAGAAACCAAGGGGTTAACTACTTGTTTGCCAAGACACTGCACGCAGTCAGCTTCGACAGAAACCCTGCCAAAGACGGAGAACCATACGATGAACATTCAGGAATGAGAGGAGAAAAATGCATCTCTGTACCGACTATTTAACTTAAAAGAACTTTGGGAAGAAGTTGATGTAGTTGGGATAATTACCAAAGACTTTTTTAAATAGCAACTGGGTACGAATACGAGACTAGATGTTGTCACCCCTCTTCTGTTCAGTATCAGAATAAAGTTCCCATCATTTCTCCGTGGCAGTTTAGGTAAGAGAAGGAGGAATTATTTGGATTCTGCAACACCTACTGCAGGGTTAAGGATGCCAAAATACAAACGGTCATGTCAGGACCTTGTACCGTTTCCCCAGACAGAACTGCAGGTACTTGAGTTAGAAGAGACATCAACATCGCTTGTTACTACAGCTGAAGTACAGCGCTCGCAGCTTGCTCGCACCTCGCTTAGCACACAGACTAGGCAGACTGAAGTGAAGAGTTATGCCAATTCAGTGACGAGATTTCAGCACAGCTTTTGCTACAGAAGATATAGAAAAACAACTCAGTTTTAACTAGGAAGGAACATAAGCAGGAAGTTTTACAGTTCAGTAAAGAGGGTTCAGAAACTAAATGACTTTTTTTTTGTGTGACCAGGATGTTTGGTAGACAGTGAACTGAAATCCGGGACCAGAAAAGTACTCTTAAACAACCCTTCGGACTTCAAAAAACCTCTTCAGATAGTAGATTTGTCCCAGTGTCATGGCAACTAATACAAGAGCTTCAAAGAACGACCAAAGAACCACTCTGCTGTTTGTGTTGTCATTAACTGTTGGGGGAAAAAAAGAGAAAAGAAAGTAGTCAGAAACAAAGCATTTAAAACCAACGGAAAACACAGTTTGTCACTGGAACTGGCACAAAACACACCGATTCTCGTATCGCGTCGTTACAGGGGTCCCAGAGAGCGCTTCGGCCTTAGCGCCGAGGGGGGCATTCTCGGAGCAGTTTGACCCGCGCTAGGCAAGCCAACGTTTTAACCCCATGGCAGCCTCCCCTATCCCGCCACCTCCGAAGGGGCCGGACAGAGCTTCCAACTGCCAAACAGAAGCCACTCGCTTTTTCAAGTGGTCTCAAAGCCAAGGGGGGAGTTTCTAATCACTGAAGGTTCATCATCTCTGGTTCTAAGAGTTCGGCGTTTTCTTAAATCACATCGTTAGTAACACAAGTCGTCAAGCTGGAGACATCCACAGGTTCAAAACGTTGAGGGGCCAGTGCTTTAACACAACCTTGTATTTTCACCCCTGCATTAAAAATACCTGCCCTTTACTCTCCCTCAGCAGCCCCATGCAGCGCTCGGCGCTCGCAGCCGTGCTTTACAGCTACGTTTCAGAATGTCAGGGCTGTGGCTGCAGTTAAGCCCGTTCCCTGCTGCTAACAACGGCACTTCTGCTCCCTTTCAGCGCAGTTTGCCTTAAAGACTCTGGCTCAGTCACTAAGCCAGGCCCACTTCCAGGACAAACTAGGAGTTCAACCAAAGTCTATCCCTGGGATGTCATTACCGGTACCTTCGTGGATGTGCCATTCAAGGAACTAGAGTATACACCAGTTCAGCAAAGATTATTTTGCATAACAGTCTTCATGACATGAGGGACAAGCCAATTTAAAAAAGATGGCAACATTCTTTACTGTACAGGCAGCACCTGAATTACATTCAGTAACTTCGATGTGATGTAAAATACAAGACCATGAAATCAAATTCCTGCATTCATTTGAGAGGGAAGAGGCATTTTAGTCAAAGACACGTACTTGCTCTATGTATTCTTTCACGAACTTCCATGTACTCCTGTTCATGCTTTACAGCTGTCATGGCCACCGCTAACTCATTAATCATCTCTTCTAGCTTGTTCTGATGAGCTGCAAAACAATTTCAGAAGCATCAGAAAGCCTGCCATTGACTCAAAACCCGATTTGTTAACATTCACAAACAGGTACACTTGTATTTCCTGTCGCAGCAGCTCTGGAAAACGCAGCCTGTACAGCTGGAAACTTTCTACCCTTGCAGCGGAGTTCAATCTCATAGCGCCGCTTTTCCTAACGCCTCTGCGGTATTTAGTAAGTGGGAAAACATCTTCCTCCGCATCCGACTAGAAGGCAGAAGGCACGCGATTTAGAGTCAGTACAGACCACTTATTCCCAATCCGAGCATACTTTTCCGGAAAAACAGAATCTAAGAACACGGGATCAATATCACACACTAGTATCTATTTTGCCAATATCATCCAATATATTCCAAGCAAATTAACTGAACATTACAGCTTTTCCTAGTTGTTAAGCTTGCAAAAACAGAACGACTGAGAATTTAGCTTAAGATCATGATGCTGGCAAAACGAGATCGCTTTCTGAAGCAACATATCACACCCTGCGATCGCCCGCTTCAGCTGCGGCACAGCATTCAGCAGAAACAATGCCAAAGGGGCCTGGCAGAGGGCAGGGACCGGCTTCAGGTTCTGCTATGTCGGGAGCAGAAGAGGAAAACACCAAGCCAGTCAGAGCAGAAAACTTGCCTGATACAGTTTAGCAAATGGAAGGATCAGAGACTCAGGATTTAGGGATCTGACTGTCAATCGCAGGATTTTGACCGCATTCATGCTTAAAGTCCACAACTACGCAAGTGATTTTCAAAGTTTGCTAGCACCAGGAGAAGTTCAAGGTATCATTGCACAGACACACCCTGGGCCATCAGCTCTCTCAAAGAAGGCACAAACCCCAACATATTTCCCATTCAAGGGATGTACTTGACCCTGAAGCTGCTTCACATGTCTTTATGGATCAATGAAGCGCTTCAGATCACAGTCTGAAAATGAAGCTATTCAAAACACACCTTATGGGGAACAGTTAAAAAGAGGAACAGAGAATAACACTCTTACAAGTTACAATTAACATCTTAATTAGTGGTGTGACCCACTCACATTGCCAATATGGTAAACCCCATTCTCTCCCTGGCCAGTGCAGTAAGAGCAGTTTATTGGCAAGAAAAGAAACTTGGGGGATCGTATAAACTCACTTCAAAACAAACACTCAGGGAAAAGCATTTGCCTTCCAAATTTAAAGCTGCACTACTGTTCTTTACAACAGATATTCAGACTCCACAGAAGATTTAAATGAGTCTTTAACAAAGCAATCAAGAAGTTCGGAGTCTGTTACTTTTCGGGTGGTATCAGGCATTCAGTGCAGTTACTGACTTGCTAAAAGAGAAAGCAAGAAGTTACTGCCTTTCTAGCTACCCCTAATGATTTCTAAATAAAACTTTGTTACCCAACACATCATCTCTTTTACAGCAAATGACAACTTGAAGTTTTTCCCCTTGTAACATAACTGATAATTAATAGCCTAAAAGCAGCGTATTGCTTCCCAAAGCCCTTGATTATTCAGCACCCACTTTAGCAACAAAAAGCAAACATCATCTAAAACATCCAATGTTCCTGGGTGTTCAGGGTTTTTGTTCAATTTCACCTAAACTCCCATTTCAGTCTCCTGTTCGCCATAAATAACCACCTGAAGGCACACTGTCACGGGCAGTCCAAGGACCTGATCCCAAGAGCTGCTCAGTGTGTAAACCGCTCGATGAAAGCTTGCAGGTGCTCAGCGTTGCTCAGAATCAGACCTTTTATGTAGTTTATTAAAAAGACATTCTCATGCTGCAAACAAATGTTACAGAGGAAAAGCAAACGTTAGCTGTTAGTGAATAAACATACGCAGAAGACAAGATGCTAACGAGCTTTCAAAAAGCAGTACACATACCATCCCAGGTATCTCCACCACCTAGAGAAAAGTGTAAGAGATGAACACAAGTACGGGACAAAAGGCTGCAGATAAAACAGTAATTTACACGGCTAAGAGAAAAATTTCACATTAGCACATTTACCAAAGAGCTCAACCAATGCACGCAGCAGTCTACATACTGCTGAGCAAACTAGAAATCGGAGAATGAAACCGACAAAAAGGCTAAAGGATGAAAGCATTAGTTTCTGGAGATGGCCAAGTGATTCTCTGGTGATTTTGCATTAAATCGTGTAATGAGGTCTAAAAACATCCATACCCATCTCAGCTGTGCAAGAGAACAGCTAACTAGACAGCATGAAGAAACAGGAATTCTGAGAACCCCAGTCAAGTTCAGAAGTCATGCATATAGGGAAAAGCTCCAGAGCCAGAGCTAATTTCTTTCCAGGAGTCTTCCTCACCTTCTGTCTCCATGTCTTGCCCCTTTGGAGCTTCCCCGATATCAATAGTGAACATCACTATCTTGGGAGTCATGGTGGACATTCTGTTGCTAAAGCAAAACTTGTAAGTTCCATCCATGTGGGCAGCAAACGTGTATTTTCCACTGGACTCTCGATCCCCTTTATAAATTCCTTTATTATCAGGCCCTGTAATCTGAATGGGGAAAACAAAATGTCATACATTTTATTTCAGATACTGCGGGTTTAAATACACCATGCCAGCATTCCGAAGTTACCCAGTCAGAATTACCAACAGCATCTGAAATCTGACTGGTTTGGCATACCATACTTTCCCTCCCACGACTCAAAAGCAGTGATGCATCTTTCTGCACAGAAGTCTTCAAAAAACAAAAAAAATCTCGGTAAAGAAAGTCCTACAAAAGCCTCTCTTACCGGCCAAGATTACTGGCTTTCCGTAGCCAAGATAAGCAGCATCCAAGACAAGTAAACCGTAAGCTACCTACAGCCCTGGCTGTTGGCCAAGTAACAACTGCAGGGGAAAACCTTATCTCTGATGACTGAAGGAAAACACCCAACATTTTCCCAAATGTCAATACGACGTCGGACACAGAGGTGCACCGCTGCAGTCACCGTTTCAAATGGACCGAGGGTCTGAGTACTCGGTGCTCAGGGTCACCGCGGTCTTACGGCTCCCACCCCACCACACTCTGCTGCTGAGCTTCCATTACTAACATCCGAATGGGATTGCACAGCTTCCCGTCGCTCTCCCGTATCAGAGCGATGTGTAATTTTACACTATTCACTCTCAGCAACAACTCTCTCGTGTTCCAGTTATCCCAAAGAAGCAACTATCCGCCCTTCACCAAGAAATTCTTATTATTCCCCCACCGATGCGATGTCTCACTGGAGAACAGGACTTACCTACAACTTTCAAGGCGGCAATCCACCTGACTAGAGACACCGCCTTCAGAGCCGAGAGGAAACGCACTGCTCCCCGAGAAGCAACGCGGTTTTGTAAAAAACAACCCTGTTCGTTCTTCCCACCAAACGCTTTATTGCCCCAAGACCGTGCCGGGCAGAACAGCGAAGAAAACCTCAGGAGAACAGGAAGGCTGCCTTCTGCAGCACGAGCAGAAGCGACGAGCAGCCTCGTGAAACGTACCCACCCGGAGAGGCTCCTCGTCCTCCCCGGGGCCGCCCACCCTCCCACGC